AAAAAAAAAAAAAAAAAAATCAATGGCAAAAATATCCTCAGGTGAGTATTAACAACAACAACAATAACAAAAGTACAAATGCTAATTACAAACCACTTTATCTAGTTACTAAGGTAGAATGCTATATAAACTTTAGGCATTTTCTTACAATTCTGTGTTTCAGACAACCCCACAAAAACAACTAAAATTCACCAACATTATAAAAGTAAGTCAAAAGCTTAGATCACACTACTTTTTCAATAAGATTTCAAAAGGATCAAAAATCAATTAAAATTACCTCATCTAACTAGGTATGTGCTTCTTTACATGCTATTAGACATGAATCTCAAGAGTCAAAGTCAACTGAGTCAACAAAGTAGGAAATTTGATTCCAGTTCTAATTCACAAACTGTCTCTATTTCTTTCATGGATAAAACAGATTTGATAATAGCTGTTAACTCAATCATAAGAAGCACAGGTAAAGACCGTCTTATAGTAAAATTTAGTCTGTAAGCATCCATTATACAAATGTATTATATATAACTATAGTCACTGTTTAAATGATGTCTTCGCTCCTCCAAGCTTCTGCAGATTTAAAAAATTAATTTGTGTCATCAAAATAGATTTGCATCTGAGACCCTGAAATGATTACAAAATCATGATATAAGTGCACAATGAAAATAGCAATATGTTGTGTTTTATATATATTTTTCCCTCTTACTTGACAACCAGTTATCACACTGAAGTGAAAGTGGAAGTTTCCACAAATCAGCTTTAAGTGAAAAAACAAACAAAAGTGCGAACCACTCTGATTCACATAGACAGCTAAAACATCCTTACATATGCAGTCACTTGAATATTTTGCAAGACATTTTTAGGAGCGCTAAGAATTCAATATACCAGGTTACTTCAGAAACAAAATTGAACATTTCTCTCACTCTTTAAAGCTCTGTAACAAGGCAATGCAGAGATTTCAAATTCAAATGAAAAGTATTTCAATATGTTTCTATCAGCCCTTGGGTAAACAAACAGAAATAGGACATGTTAAAAACTCTTAAAGTATATTGGTCACTCATCATTACTCAAAATTTTCACACTCACATTTTTCATGTGCATGGCAAATTTCCCAGCCAAAGGGTTATGAAAAATATTAGAACTTAGACCAAAGTTTGGCATATTTAGAATTAGTTTTCCTTTTTGACATGTCACTATAAGATTTAGGTCTCTTGCATTTCAGCAATAAATACTAAACATTGGTTCCTAGTTTGGCTCATCCTTCAGAAAAGTATTACAGTTAGTCCAGGAGAGAAAACATTTTCAGTTTGAAAGAAACCACATGCTCCAGTTGTCTACCACCACTGGTTGGTTTTCTAGAGGTAAGCAATCTAAACTCAACAATATGTGTAACATATCTGTAGGCTGGAGTTGGGTTACACTGGCCTTAGAAGAACTGCCTTACATTTCAAGAAATTTCAAAACTTTAAAAATTCTCCATTAAGTCGGACAGAGCTCTTTGCTACACATTGTAACCTGACACTAGGTTGAAGAAAGACGTTGACCAAGTTTAAGTAATCCAAGAGGAACTGTTTACTGCTTTCTGTTAGAAGAGTCTTGACCTATAGTAACACTGCTGCGGCAGAGGTTACTCTTGGATATTAGATGCTGCTATCAGGAAGTCAGTCTCTGTCTTTCTCTGTCCCTCTGACTGTCTCTCCTGGCACAAATCTCAAGTGTTTGTAAGAATTCAGCCCTGCTCTCTCATAGTGTATAAAGACAAGAAAAACCACAAGAAGAGTTGGAAAATGTACCTCAGGCCAGCTATATAGCTCCCTCTTCACCTCAATAAAAGGGCTGTGCCATAGAAAACTTCTACATTGTGATCCAACTCACTCTCTATCAAACAAATTTGCCTTTGAATGAACATCTCTGGGAAGGTGCAATGACCCTTTCTCAATGAAACAAAAGGTTTATTTGACATTGGTTTATTTTAGCATCACTTTACCTAGTCTGCTCCTGTAAAATGAGATGAGGCTCCACGAAGAACTTGACTCTCAGTTTAAGCCGGTAAGGGGCTAGCCCATCCATCTGCTGGGAGATCCGGTTTCTCAGATTTAGCCATAAACTTTCACCTTTGCTACCCGTAAACTGCAGTCCAAAATAATCAACTTCTATAATTCCCAATCTCCTGCATACCTAAAACAAAAATGAATACAGCATGGATGAGCAAATGGTCCATGTGGTAAAAGCAAACCCAAGGACTCCATGTGAGTCTAAGATTCCTGCCTGCTTTTTACAAAGTTCAACAGTGTTACAATTTCTATTGTAAACTGGAAGAACAAAGTTCTAAGGCTCCAGAGATGCTAAACCACTAGGTGAAGTAGAGAGGCTTGTCCTTCCTTTAATATCTAGGGCATGGCCAATGGCAGGAAAGAAAAAGGAGTCTTCAAACACAGCCTTCCAGAAAAGCTGCGGAGGGTAATCTCGGGGTATTTACCTTCTTACTCTAATCACCAGAATTCCCTCCGCCTGCTCAACTGACACAGCTGATTTGGCAGCTTAGTATCTAGACAATTTTAACCATCTGGACTCAAAAGAAAAGGAAAAAAAAAAAAAGGGAAAGAAACACGCCACAAGTGTCAGCTAAGCTTTACAAGAGGTCTTCCAAACCGCTCAGGTCCAGGGGGTTTCAGGGCACAGCTTTTCACTCGAGATCAAATCTGCTGTCTGCCATACCAGTGCCCACTGCCTGGAACCATTCCTCACTCTTAAGGAAGTGCCGCGTGCTTCAAGACGACAGGGGAGCCGATGGCCAAAGCCCAGGGTCCCCGCATCCCCCGCAAATCCGGAGATGCAGGTGACTGGTCCGTTTGAGAAGCAGCAAGAGAAAAGGGCCCGCCTTGTCTGCCAAGCAACCCGCGACCTGCGATCGCCTCCAGCCACCTCATCTGGAGACGCAGGTGTTCCTGCCAGGCCCCGCGGGGACCAGGCGGCGGCATCGTGCACACACCTGCAGCAGGTGTTCTGGGAAGCCGCCTTCTGGGAAAGCGCCGGGCTGGGCGGCTGGGCGGCGGGTCACCGCACGCGTGCTCCGCGCCCCCCACCACGCGCTCCCGGCGCTCAGGGATGGAGNCCCGGTCCCCGCGTGGCCCTTCACCCTCACCTGGTTGAGGCAGTCCTCGCCGTTGGCTTTCGCTTCCACCTCCACCTCCATCAGCACCGCGTCCGGCCGCGTCACATAGCACAGCATGGCTGGGGCCGCCGCTGCAGCTACCGCCGCCTCT